CCCAGGTAATCTTGTGTTATCCCTGGTAATCTTGGGTTATCCCAGGTAATCTTGGGTTATCCCAGGTAATCTTGGGTTATCCAAGGTAATCTACACATATGCAGCTACTTATGATAATTTATGTAACTATTTATGTTTACCTATACCTGAATAAACTTATAGACATACATATATAGCAGATATGCAGAGACCGATACTCTGGCACAACCTTAACCTGTATTACGGTATTTAATAATAATAATAATAATTATTATTATATATTTTTTTTTTTTATCACACTGGCCGATTCCCACCAAGGCAGGGCGGCCCGAAAAAGAAAAACCTACACCATCATTCACTCCATTACTGTCTTGCCAGAAGGGTGCTTTACACTTCAGTTTTTAAACTGCAACATTAACACCCCTCCTTCAGAGTGCAGGCACTGTACTTCCCATCTCCAGGACTCAAGTCCGGCCCGCCGGCCTCCCCGAACCCCCCCACAAATGTTACCCTGCTCACACTCCAACAGCACGTCAAGTACCAAAAACCACCTGTCTCCACTCATTCCTATCAAACACGCCCACGCACGCCCGCTGGAAGCCCAAGCCCCTTGCACACAAAACCTCCCCTCCAACCCTTCCCAGCCGATCCCCACCCCGCCCCCCCTCCACTACAGACTGATACACTCTTGAAGTCATTCTGTTTCGCTCCACTCTCTCCACATATCCGAACCACCTCAACAACCACCCCCCAGCCCTCTGGACAACAGTTTTGGCAATCCCGCACCTCCTCCCAACTTCCAAACTACGAACTCTCTGCATCACATTCACACCACACATTGCTCTCAGACACGACATCTCCACTGCCTCCAGCCCCCTCCCCGCTGCAACATTCACCACCCATGCCCCACACCCACACGAGAGTTGGTAAAACTATACTCTCATACATTCCTCTCTTTGCCTCCAAGGACAAAGTTCTTTGTCTCCACAGACTCCTAAGTGCACCACTCACCCCCCCCCCCCCACCAACTCCACGACTCACCCCATCCTTCACAGACCCATCCGCTAACACGCCCACCCCCAAACATCTGAACACATTCACCCCCTCCACACTCCCTCCCTCCTATCTGACATCCAATCTCCCATCACCCAATCTTTTTGCTATCCTCACAACCCCACTCCTTCCTACATTCACCCCCAACTTTCCCCCTTTGCACACCCCACCAAAGTCACCCACCAACCTCTGCAACCCCTCCTCAGAATCTCCCAAGAGCACAGCATCACCAGCAAAGAGCAACTGTGACAACTCCCACTCTATATGTGATTCTTTATCTTTCAACTCCATGCCTCTTGCCAAGACCCTCGCATTTACTTCTCTTACAACCCCATCCACAAATATATCAAACAACCATGGTACACAGAGATAAGTTATTGGAGAATGCCTTTTCTAATTGGCTTCAGAATTTCACGGTTAGTGAATGAAAGCTTGGCATTCACTCTGAGTTCTGCAAATTCCAATTTACCATTTTTATTCAATAAATTATTTCTCGTGTAATAACTAGAGACTGCCTCTTTTGATTGGCTTCAAACCCAAAACACTGGTGTATCTTGTTTGGAAGTGTTTTTGTATTGATATTTGGGCTGTGTAGGTTCCAATTTTCCAATTTTGTAAAGAAATTTTATTGAAGTAGATATTCTTAAAAAAATAATATAAAATATTTTTTGTTATGGGTTTGTATAGTTTTGAAAGATTCACCTTTGTAGGACATTTAAAAATTTAACGAGGATAGACTGTTTTTCTGGATATTGGTCTTTCTGAGGTAAAAAGAGAATGCCTCTTCAATTTAGCTTCTAAGCTGGTGTTTCTTAACCCTTAAACTGTCTAAACGTAGATCTACGTTCACGTGCGTAGTGCTCCGACCTTGATTTTCCCCATTTGAAAGCATGTAAAAAAAAACATAGATCTTCATTTGGAGCCACCCCCCCCATGGACGTAGATGTACGTTTGGACAGCTTAAGGGTTAATAGCAGGTTTGAATTAGATTGGGGCTGTGTATATCCTAACTTGTCATTTTAATTGAAGCAATTATAATAATTTCCATATGATGATTTGTGGATGCCTCTTTTGATTAGCTTCAAATTTTCAGTGCTGATACTGAACTGCATTACAAACTTATGTTGCACTCAGCACTATTCCAGTCCCATGCACTGAGGTACAGGGAACTGTATGAACCAGCCAGCCGGTCATACAGTTCCTAGGGAGGAAACAGTAAGGGACCTAGACATGAGGCTCATTGAGCAAAAATATGCATACCACACTGGCAGTAATAATAACAATTGTGTCATACAGAGAAACACTAATGGACATGGTATAAAATGGGACCTTTACAGGTGGTGTTGCTTAGAATTAATTGTAATATGTCTTAGATCAGAGATGATCACTGTATTGAGAAAAATGTCTTTGTGTTATAGCTGTGGAAAACAATGGGAGATTTAACATATCAGAAGTGTAGGCCAAGTTAATCTTACAGGACATTGTTGTCTGGTGACCTGACATATACTACACCTGACCTCACCACATTTGACCTTTCCACTAAATTTTCTCCGATTTTATGTACTGTACTCTGTATTGGAGTTAGGAAACCCCTGTTGAGCAAAATTTCTCCTAAATAAAAGTTGCCCATACATTACCCATGATGCCGTGTTCATTTGTCAGTTCTGGTTAATTTGTCTGATATGCAGAAGAAATATATAAGTGGTGTTGAGAATATCTGACCTAGGACGAACTCAAAATTGTGGCTTCATATTAAACTAACCTTTTAAGGGTCCATCCTGTAGTTCTTTGAAACCAGGGTCCAAGCCATAGTACTACATCATGAGCTCAGCTTCCTCAGATAAGCTGTGAGCAGCAAATTTGGGCCTAGATGTGAGTGAATGCATCTATGTGGTAAGTGTGCACCATATAAAACAAATCCTGCAGCATGCAGTACTTAATGAGAAAAAAAAATGCAACCGTATTTTTGGATTAAAACAGCAACTTTGCAGTGTATTTTCATATGCTTTTTTTATGATTGTATTCATGGTTTCTTGATCTCATTTGATAGAATGGAAGATATATTACAGTAATAGAGATGATTTTCATTGGGTTTAGTACTGAAAATGGCTTGAAACTGAGTTCAAATTAGCAGAAATGTTCAATTTTCGCCAATGTCCGAGCATGAACAAATGACATCATGCATCCAAAACATGTCAGCTGGTGGGTCTAATGTACATTCACATATGCACTGAAATTATTTATACAATTATTGCAATATTGCATAACAGTAAATCTTCTATTTTTTGGTGTGAATAAAAATTCATTATGTGAATAAAAAATCAAAACAGAATCCATTTGTAAAGCCTGGAAACATAACTAATGAACAGAGGAAATGTTCTTTTAGTGCCAGGAATGCTTGCATTATTTATTCTTGACCCCTATTTTGAAATAGAATATTTTGAGCTTTGTGTGAAATTAGCCAAATTACCAATTTCCGATCACGTTACTGGGTAGTTGAAACAGTTGACTGGATGATTTCTTGTGCTCAATTGATAAAATAGAAGTAATACTAGTGAAACAGCTAAGAATTTAGTCGACTGGAATAATGTAATTGGCTTGAAATAGGAGTCAAAGTGGGCAAAATTGCTGATGCATGAATATCACTGTTGCAGCAAAATTTGCAAGAGTGTAATTTCGAAAATTTTCCATCAAGCTTCATACTTTTTGTTTTATGACCTTCAGAAAAAGATTCTCTACCATTTCAAAAGAAAAAAATAGCAATTTTTTTTTTTATCATGTTTGCCTCACTCCAATTTTTTTTTTTATTCTGGCAAAATTTGTTGACAGTGCCTCACTCACTCTATCATTTGCTCTCCTTTTGCACTCTTTTCACCTCTCTTTTACTCTCTATATACTCTGCCCTTCTTATATTCTGTTTTGTAAAAACCTCTCATAAGCAACCTTTTTCTCTTTTATCACACCCTTTACCTCATCATTCCACCAGTCACTCCTCTTTCCTCCTGCATCCACCCTCCTATAACCACAAACTTCTGCCCCACATTCTAACACTGCATTTTTAAAACTATCCCACCCCTCTTCAAACCCCCCATTACCCATACTTGCACTAGCCCACCTTCCTGCCAATAGTTGCTTATATCTCACCCTAACTTCTTCTTCCCTTAGTTTATAAACTTTCACCTCTCTCTTACTTGTTGTTGCCATCTACCTCTTACTCTAACTGTAGCTACAACTAAATAATGACCTGATGTGTATGTTGCCCCTCTATAAAGATGCACATCCTGAAGCTTACCCATCAACCTTTTATCCACAAATATATAATCTAACAAACTACTTTCGTTACCTGCTATATCATATATTGTATATTTATTTATCCTCTTTTTCATAAAATATGTATTACTTATTACCAAACCTCTTTCTGCACATAGTTCAATTAAAGGCTCCACATTTTCATTTACCCCTGGCACCCCAAATTTACCTACTACTCCCTCCACAGCATTTTTACCCACTTTAGCATTTAGATCCCCAACCACAAGTACTCTCTCACTTGGTTCAAAACTCCCCATGCACTCAACATTTCCCAAAATCAATCACTCTCTCCTCTACACTTCTCTCTTCTCCAGGTGCATAAACATTTACTATAACACACTTTTCACATCTATCCCTTATTTTACTCCACATAATCCTTGAATTTATACATTTATATTCCCTCTTTTCCTGCCATAACTTAACCTTCAACATCATTGCTACTCCTTCCTTAGCTCTAACTCTATTAGAAACCCCTGCTGTAATCCCATTTATTTTTTATATTTTATTTTTTTATTTTTTTTTATTTTTTTATATTGGTATTTTATATCATTTCACTCCAACCTGTATATGAATTTTGAAATGTTCCATATTATATTTTATGTCTAACAACTGTGACGGTAACATGTCACTGACTAGTAATATATGCTTTGTTTGGGCAGTGATGAAAACAGCAGTGACCATGCCAGCTTATTACGGGAGGTGAAGTCTCTAGCACAACTAGATCATCCTAACATTGTACGTTATCACAGCGCCTGGGCACAGCTGCATATCCTACCTCCACATTTTTTTCAAAATGATGAGCTCACCGAGAAGTTGGAGAGAAAACCTCGCAATCCTACAATAATTACACGGCCTAAAGCTCTGAATGTGTCACCAGTACCAAGTGTCAGAATTGAAGAGCTGTCAAGGTAAATCATAACTTTCTTGAAACATTACATGTTAGGAAATGGGAAACCTATATTATTGACTGTAGCAAAGCATGTATTCCTGCATGTATTAAAAATATTGTTGACAGTAACATTATTGAATTCTATTCAATCTCTAGTACTAAGGAAGAAATATACATTTGTCTTGATCATTTTGCATGTGGAACATAATTACAGATTTTTTCTGCTTCATGACCTTTCTACATTGAGGCAAATGTGACTTCACTTTGTCTCTCTCTCTCTCGTGTATTGACATTCATACTGTATTCCTTTGAATCCCTTTTACTATACTCTGCTTAATATTTGAAAATGAAAGATCTGTTTATTAGTTTTTCATATGGTTTATGGTGCATATTGACCACAGAACCATTCAATTGTGTGTGTGATACATTCCTGAGACTAGGTAATTAGTGGTATACAGCCTTTCCTCACTTAACGGAGTTCCGTTCCTAATACCAGGCTAGAACTCCTTTTGTTCTATTGATTGAGTACAAGAAACCACCCATTTACCTATTTCAGCTACTCAATAAAGTGATAAAAAAAATGGTAATTTGGCCAATTTTGCACAAAATTCAAGAAAGGCCAATTTCAAAATAGGGTCCAGAATTAACAATGCAAACATTCCTAGCACTAAAATAACATTTTCTTTGTTCATTAGTCATGTCTCCAGGCCCCTCTTACCTCATGCTTGTTTTAAGAACATCAGAACATAAGAAAGGAGGAACACTGCAGTAGGCCTGTTGGCCCATACTAGACAGGTCCTTTACAATTCATCCCACTAACAAAACATTTGCCCAACCCAATTTTCAATGCTACCCAAGAAATAAGCTCTGATAACTCTATCCACTTCTAGTTAGTAGGTTGGTACACAGCAACCTACCATCCTGCCAAGTGAGTATAAAATGAAAGCCTGTAATTGTTTTGCATGATGGTAGGATTGCTGGTGTCCATTTTTCTGTCTCATAAACATGCAAGGTTTCAGGTACGTCTTGCTACTTCTACTTACACTTAGGTCACACTACACATACATGTACAAGCATATATATACACACCCCTCTGAGTTTTCTTTTATTTTCTTACTAGTTTTTGTTTATTTCCTCTTACCTCCATGGGGAAGTGGAACAGAATTCTTCCTCTGCAAGCCATGCGTGTTGTAAGAGGTGACTAAAATGCCAGGAGCAAGGGGCTAGTAACCCCTTTTCGGTGGGATACGGCCGGTGTGTTGAAAGAAAGAACTCTATCCACTCATATGCAAGTCCCACTCAAATCCAACCCCTCTCACTCATGCATTTTTTTTTTTCAACAAACCGGCCATATCCCACCAAGGCAGGGTGGCCCAAAAAGAAAAATGAAAGTTTCTCTTTTTAAATTTAGTAATTTATACAGGAGAAGGGGTTACTAGCCCCTTGCTCCTGGCATTTTAGTCACCTCTTACAACACGCATAGCTTACAGAGGAAGAATTCTGTTCCACTTCCCCATGGAGATAAGAGGAAACAAACAAGAACAAGAACTAGTAAGAAAATAGAAGAAAACCCAGAGGGGTGTATATATATACTATATATATATGCTTGTACATGTATGTGTAGTGTGACCTAAGTGTAAGTAGGAGTAGCAAGACGTACCTGTAATCTTGCATATTTATGAGACAGACAAAAGACACCAGCAATCTGACCATCGTGTAAAACTATTACAGGCTTTCGTTTTACACTCACTTGGCAGGACGGTAGTACCTCCCTGGGCGGTTGCTGTCTAGCAACCTACTACCTAGGACTCATGTATTTATCCAACCTAAATTTGAAACTTCCCAAAGTCCTAGCCTCAATAACCCAACTAGGTAGACTGTTCCACTCATGAACTACCCTATTTCCAAACCAATACTTTCCTATGTCCTTTCTAAATCTAAACTTGTCTAATTTAAATCCATTACTGCAGGTTCTCTCTTGGAGAGATATTCTCAAGACCTTATTAATATCCCCTTTATTAATACCCATCTTCCACTTATACACTTCGATCATGTCTCCCCTTACTCTTCGTCTAACAAGTGAATGTAATTTAAGGGTCTTCAATCTTTCTTCATATGGAAGATTTCTAATGCTATGTATTAATTTAGTCATTCTACTTTGAATGTTTTCTAATGAATTTATGTCCATTCTGTAATATCATTAGTAAGGCCTCACCAGAGGTGAGGCCTTACTAATGATGTGTAAAGCTGTAATATAACCGCTGAACTTCTGTTGCTTACACTTCTTGATATAAATCCCAGTAATCTGTTTGCCTTATTACATATGCTTAGGCATTGCTGTCTTGGCTTAAGGTTGCTGCTTATCATAACCCCCTAGTCCTTTTTGCAATCTGTATGGCTAAGTTCTACATTATTTAGCTTATAAGTCCTAGGGTTGTGGACACTCCCGAGGTTCAGAACCTTACATTTATCTGCCACTTTTCTGACCAGGTATTGAGTTTGTCTAAATCCTCCTGAAGTTCCCTGATATCTACGTTTGAATCAATTATCCTACCTATCTTTGTGTCATAGGCAAATTTACTCATTTCACTAGTAATTCCCTCATTAAGATCATTGATATATATTATAAACAACAACGGGCCCAAGACTGATCCCTGTGGAACGCCACTTGTTACAGATCCCCACTCGGATTTAACCCCATTTATGGACACACACTGTTTCCTGTCTGTGAGCCATGACTCGATCCATGAGTGCACTTTTCCCTCAATGCCATGAGCTGCCACTTTTTTAACAGTTTGGTGCGGAACTCTATCAAAAGCCTTACTAAAATATAAGTAAATATTATCAAATTCTTTATCATGATCAACAGCCTCAAAAGCTTTACTGAAGAAAGTTAATAAATTGGTTAGACAAGACCGGCCTCTCGTGAATCCATGCTGAGTATCATTAATCAGATTATGCTTATCCAGATGGCTTCTTATAGTCTCAGCTATAATTGACTCTAGCAATTTGCCTACAATTGAGGTCAGGCTTATTGGGCGGTAATTTGACGATAACGACTTATCCCCTGATTTAAAAATAGGAATTACATTAGCCATCTTCCACATATCAGACACTACACCTGTTTGAAGAGATAAATTAAAAATATTAGTTAATGGTTCACAGAGTTCCATTTTGCATTCCTTAAGAATCCTTGAAAAAAGCTCATCAGGTCCCGGCGACTTATTTTGCTTCAGCCAGTCTATTTGTTTCATAACCATTTCACTAGTGACTGTGAAAAATTAAATTGAATTTTTATTCATGCCAAAAATAGAAGATTTACTGTTATGCAGACTACTTCATTATTGTAAAAATGGTATAAATAATATCAGCACATTTGTGAAAGCATATTAAACCCACCAGTTGACATGTATTGGATATGTGATGTGATTTGTTTACTCTTGAATGTTAGCAAAAATCAAACATTTTCTCTAATTTGAGCTCAGTTTCAAGCTATTTTCAGTACTAAAACCAATCAAAATCATCTCTATTTCTGTAATGTACCTTCCATTCTATCAAATGAGACCAAGAAACCGTGAACAATACTGTAAAAATCATACAAAATAAACCACAAAATTGCTGTTTTAATCAAAAAACATGGTCGCAGTTTTTTTTCTCATTATGCACTGCATGCTGCAGGATTTTTTTTATACTGTGCACACTGACCACTCAGATCCATTCTCTCATATGTAGGCCTACCAGCTGTCTCCCACAAGATTGGAAGCTGCTAGAATTTTGGCATAGTATTACAGGACCAACATTGGCTTCAAAGCTGTAATATTATGGGACTGACAGTGAAAGGGTTAAAGTTTACTCTGTGGGTAAAGAACTTGGAAAAAGTTGCAAAAAAAGTACAGCAATAATGGAAAGAAGGAGACATGCACTTCTTAAGAACATAAGAAAGAAGGAAAACTGCAGCAGCCCTACTGGCCCATGCATGGCAGGTCCAATTCTCCTACCAGCTTAAGCCCGTGCCCTACCCTAGTCAGGTCAGGTCACATTCACTTAAGAAAGGAGCATGGCATCTGACTAAGTAGCACAAGCTAGTCAGGTCCAACTCACACCTGCCCACACCCACTCATGTATTTATCTAACCTATTTTTAAAACTAATCAACATTTTAGCTTCTTTGACGGTACTCGGAAGTTTGTTCAAGTCATCCACAACTCTGTTACCAAACCAGTGCTTACCTATATCCTTCTTGAATCTGAATTTTCCAACTTGTAGCCATTGCTGTGAATCCTGTCTAGGCTAGATATTTTTAGCATGCTATTTATATCCCTTTTATTCCTGTATTCCATTTATACACCTCAGTCATGTCCTCCCTAATTCTATGACTTTCTAGAGAGTGCAGATTCAAGGCCCTCAGTCTATCCTCATAGGGAAGCTTTCTGATACATGGGATCAACTTTGTCATCCTCCTTTGTACATTTTCCAGTGCATTTATATCCATTCTGTAATACTGTGACCAGAACTATGCAGCATAATCTAAATGAGGCCTTACCTGAGGACTTCTATTATTTATACTTATTAATATAAAGCCAAGGATTCTGTTAGCTTTATTACAAACACTTGTGCACTGTTGTCTTGGTTTCAGATTGCTGCTAACCAGAACTCCTAAATCCTTTTTGCAATCAGTTGTATTAAGATCTACATTACTTAGTTTATATGTGGCATGGTTATTTTCCTGTCCAACATTTAGAACCTTGCATTTGTCTATATTAAACTCCATCTGCCACTTTTCTGACCACTGCATTAGTCTATTTAAATCATCCTGGAGTGCTCTAATGTCCTCATTAGAATGAATTGGATGGCCTGTTTTGGTGTCATCAGCAAATGTGCTTATGTCGCTATTTATTCCCTTATCTATGTCATTTATGTAAATTGCGAACAACAGGGGGCCCAACACTGACCCCTGTGGAGCACCGCTTGTGACGTGCCCCCATTCTGGTTTCTCCCCATTTATACAAACTCTCTGCTG